GTGGGTTCACATATGAAATAGCATGTGTGAGTGCTATGTAGAGGTGATGAACTCAATACATATAAATCTATAAGTCTAGGAATCCATGCAAATTAAGATATTTGACCTATATTCTTACCATTATTACTTGAAATGTGATTAAAAATACCACATGATATGCATCTAATACTTTATGCATAAAGACGATATCATAATGAATAACGTGTGACCTTTTTACTGCTGGGACAAGCATGTAATAATTTTGAATTAAAGCTCTTATGAATGATACTCTAAAGATATTCAATTTTAGCCTCCAGCCAAATTATCTCTAGATAAGCTCACACGATAACAAATTTTTCACTAATAAAGCATTCCCCTTTAAATAGAACTCAACTCACTTTGAACTTTAAATTAGTGTAAATTCATATTAACAGGATCATCTTTCAAAACAAGATATTTTGTCTTAAGCTTAATAAATATATCATTTAGATCAAATAATATACAATATAAATTGTCATATAATAAATGTCAATTATCTCATCTGACACCTTTTTTATGGAGTCATCAATTATCAAAAAAATATTTTAGCCTCCTCCTGATAAGATCAAATATGCTAACTCAACACTTTGAAGGATTACAGTCACTAAGTAAAAAGATATTTAATGGATTTGTCAATAGGAAGGTCCCTTAAAAGCTTGCTTCAAGGGTGAGTTGTATGTTAGTGACAAAGTTTTATTTTTCATTCTGTTTGATATTTCCTTATCTTGATTTTCTCTATTTGGTATTTGCAATGCTTGATATTTAGTTTTTTGCCGTCAATAATGCTTGATACGCCTATGAGAATATTATATCCAACTTCTCCATGGAAAACTTTACAACCCTGACCAAAAAAAATAAAAAATAAAAAGACAATAAGATAAAATAAAATAGAGTCTAAGGAGCTATACATTTTCTTATTACCATATATCTATGAAAAAATAAGTTCATGTAGCCCAAACTTCTCAATGACATCAAGCTTATAAGTAGGGGTCTAGGAGCTCCATAAGAAAAACTATAATTAAGAAAAGTTAATAAGCATGAAGATAGCTTATCATAAAATGAAGATTTGCTAATTTTAGTTTTATAATTGCATTAGATACAAATTCATATAAGTTGGTCAAATTTAGATGAAAATTTATCTTAAGCATTTTTAACTATCTTGCCTAGTTGATCTCTTGGACCACATATATAGGTGAGTACCATTGATGATTTAAAACTACTTGGTGTAATTAGCTTTCAAGCAGAGAGAGCTTTATTAAAAAAGCAAAGGGTGGATTACTCTTGACAACAAGTTAATTATAAACATTGCTTTTAAAATCAAAATTAGACTAGCCATTATGTTCAGTTCAATCATGAACGAGTCATTTGACAGTACATCTTTCACATAGAACCAACTATTGAACTAGTTTAATTTTTTTAGCAATGCATCTGATTCTAAAATTGATTCATTTTAATTTTTTTTTTTATTTTGATCAAATGAATAAAAGCAAAATATTTAATTAAAAAATACATATTAAAATGTTATGTATTAAATTTTTTATTTATAATTATATTTAAAATATTCAATAAGAAGTGTCATCAATTATAATATTATAAGAAAAATTGATGAAAACATTATTATTACATTTTTTAATCATATTAAAATATTTTTTTTATATTTATCAAGTCATTCAATCTAACTCTGTCTTTAACCCTTGTTAAACCGTTAAATCTTAAAACTCTTCTTCTCTTTCAATGTTCGTTTCGATTTTCAAAACTTTATTACAAAGATGATAACTTCATCCTATATGCTTGTCTGAAGTAGAGCTCACTTTGATAGTTTTGTCTACACCTTAAAAGGCTAAATACTCTAACCTCACTGAATTTCATTAATAGAAATTTCCTTATGTAAACTATGAAATATATCTAGAATGTGTTCTTGAAAATATTATTGTGAATATGAGAGTTTATTATGAATAACTATGGATAATGAATCTAGCTTTGCAAAAATAAGATCATGCCATTTTAAACATATAGTCAAGTTTACCTTTCTAACTAAGATTGTTAACTATTCGATTTTGAGCCGAGCTAGATGTGCTCGAATACATTTAGTGAGGCTCAAAATCTGCCCGTAGTTTATTATATTTAATTTCAAGTTGAGCCAACTCAAAATTGAATCGAGCTTCATCCGACTTGAAATCCAAACGAGCCGGCTCAAATTGAGTTATTTGAATCCGTGTTAGCTCGGAATCGACTTGATCCGACTCAAAATTAAAACTAACTAGCTTAAATTAAGTTATTTGAATCCTTTTCAACTTAGTATTAACTCATTATTTTAATTTTTATTTGCATTATATATATAATTTTTATAAATAAGAAAATACCACGGGTCATTCTCAAGTCGGTTCGAGCCGTTACATGATGGCTCGAAATCAACTCGAAAAAAATTTAATCTAAATTTCGGTTCATAGCACGGCTCATTTGGATATGATCTCAATCCCAGCTAAAATTTGAATTAATTTTCAAGCATTAACGTCTTCAAACTAAATTCACATAGTTAAGTTTACCTCTGCAATATAGGGGCTTTCCTAAAGTCGGTTCGAGCCGTTACATGATGGCTCGAAATCAACTCGAAAAAAATTTAATCTAAATTTCGGTTCATAGCACGGCTCATTTGGATATGATCTCAATCCCAGCTAAAATTTGAATTAATTTTCAAGCATTAACGTCTTCAAACTAAATTCACATAGTTAAGTTTACCTCTGCAATATGCTGACTTCACCAAACCAATATCTTACAGAACAAAGAAGAATTTTATAAGAAAAAAAAAACTCCATAAACCATTTATGAGAGAGAGGTGAGTGTTAACTCAAATAATAATCACCTATGAACTACTAATATTTCATTACATTCATTCTCTAACAATCCACCATGGAGATCCAGCCTCATAAGAACAGTTGCCATCATTCCATGAGATATGAGAAGCTTGCAGACCAATTGCAGAATTGGGTTCCTTACCATGGCATGAAATCCAATCAACCATGGCAGCCATTTTATCTCCATCTCTCAAGCACTCCTTCCTCCACTTCCCAAATGGATTAATGTGAGGATTGGAAAGTGCAGCCAAGGCGGCAGGCATGTACATCGAGTCCCCAACTATCGGCGCACCGATAGCGCCTAACTGAGCTCTCACCTGATGTGTTTTTCCTGTGAGAAGGTTGATTTTACATTCATAGGCGGTCTTCTTTGAAGGCCAGTTACAGTCTTCAATTCTGTAAGTTTTCACAACATCAGCATTTGGCCAGGGAACCTCCTTGCATTCCAGGATCTCCAGCTGACAAAGATGCCAGCCTTCAATAAATTCTGGATTCTCCTACAATTTTTCAAATATCAATAATGGGGGTAGATGAATCAAATAAGAAAGATGGTATATTTTAAGGTTTTGTTTGTGCACTTGTTTTAAGCGCCGACCATCTGATGATCCGATTATAAGAGTAGAAGTTTTAGATTCGACTTATGTTAAGAAAGGCAGAGATAGACCTAGGAATACTTGGGCTAATTGTATAAAAAATGATCTTAATTTATTAGAACTAAATGAAAATATGACACTGAATAGGACGCAATGGAGAAAAAGAATTCATGTAGCAGACCCCACGTAGTGGGATTAAGTCTTTGTTGTCGTTGTTGTACTTGTCTCTAAAATCCAGCTGCAAATTTTAAATTACATTCTTAAAATTTTGTTATGAAATACAAGTGAAGTTTCTTGCCTGAATGAGGAATTTGGTGTTTTTCTTATTATTAGTCACAAGGCAAAATATAATCCAAATTTATAGCTTCAGAACTCACTATAAAAAATATAATCCAAATTTATAGTTCATGAGTTGTTTATGGATAAAAGAAAAAAAAAATTAATATAAAGAAGTCCAGCATGACTCAGCTGATATGTAGAACAAGAAGATTGAAAGCTAATCATATATAATAATATGATAATTTTGTAGTGCAAATTCTGGATGATTACCTTGTGAAACTAGCCTGGGAGCAAGGTTTACGGGGCGCATGTAGTGAGAAATTATTCCAGTTGGTACAGGTTCA